ATTGGTGTATGTGCCTCTCTGACCGAGCAATATCCGAATGCAGCTCTTACGACAGGTCCCCGGTACAGCTTCCAATACGTGTCCCGTGCCTCCGTCAATGTTTGGGGGTTTCCCGTGCCAGGGGCGGAGCGATGCCAGCGGGGCGGACGCGTCGCATGCTGCTTGGAACTCTGTCGAAGTGCGGCGTGCCCGCTCGCGTTCGCAGCCTCCTCCTCGCCCGTTCCCTTCCTCCTCATGCCTCATCCTCCTCCTTCCTTCCTCCTCCTCCTCCTCCTCCTCCTCCTCCTCCTCCTCCTCCTCCTCCTCCTCCTCCTCCTCCCCCACCCCCTCCTCCGCCCCCCTCCTCCTCGTCCCACTCCTCAACATATTCCGCCATTCCTTGTCCTTATAAATACCTGCTCCCTGTCACACCCCGTGGCCAGTCGGAAAGGCAGGCCGGGCGTTTCGCCTGAGACTTCCTTAACACTTATGATCCAGAAGTCCAATCATTAGCAATCGCTTCACAAATCGAGGGCGGGCTGCTTCCAAAATGTGGCTCTCGCATCCGCAACGCGCACGCTTGTCTTTAAATCCGCATGAGGTTCACGGGTGGAGAGCTGGCAGTTTTCATAATGCGGTTCGTGTCTTAGCGCCAGGCACAGTCATCTGACAAAAAAATGCGAAAAGCTTCGCGCATTGACGGCGGCTCCTTTTCAAAATGTGGCTCTCGCTTTGGCGCTGCGCACACTCGCTTCGAGAATTTGCTACGAATTTTACGGCTTCCCTTGGATAACGTACCAGAAATGGTGCTTCGGAAAGGTTCAGGATTGTCAGGGGGCAACAATTACGTTGATTCGCGGTGTTGAAAATCCCAGAAACGGCGTCCTGGCACGATTCAGGATCGTCAAGTGGTGCTGAAGTTCTGAGAATGGTGCTCTGGCATGTTTCAGGATCCTCCACTGGCGGTCTCCCAACGGGGCACTTCCCCCAGTGGACATGAACCTTTGTAGGGACCGACGGAGAGGGAGCTTGGGGAGAGTGCTTCTTCCAACATCGTTGATGAGTCTTGGGTTTACACTCCTACTCCTCCTCCTCCTCCTCCTCCTGCTCCTCCGCCTCCTCCTCCTCCTGCTCCTCTTCCTCCTCCTCCTCCTCCTTCTCCTACTCCTCCTCCTCCTCCTCCTCCTCCTCCCCCTCTTCCTCCTTCTACTTCTCCTCCTCCTCCTCCTCCTCATCCGCCTGCTCCCACTTCTACTCCTCCTCCCAATCAGCATCTCCTTTCCGGACAGAATCACAAACAACCTGAGCTCGCCCAAACGCCGCGCACATTCGTCTAAAGTTTGCATGAACTTGACGGATGGAGGGCGGGCCGTTTTCAAAATGTGGCTATTGCATTTGCGCCGGGCACATTCGTTCTAGTGTTGTGTAAGAGCTTCAGAGATGGAGGGCAGCTCGTTTTCAAACTGTGGCTCTCGCCTTAGCGCCGCGCACATGCGATCAAAACCATGCAAGGGCTTCACGGGTATAGGGCGGTTCCTTTTCAAAATGTGGCTCTCGCCTCAGCGCCGCGCACACCCATGCTAAACAATTGCAAGAGCTTCACGGATGGAGGGCGGCTCCTTTTCAAGATTTGGCTGACGCCTCAGCGCCGCGCACAATATATTCAAGAGTTCATATCAACTACACGCATGCTCATTGTTAAGATTCCAGAAATGGTGTTTTGGCCAGCTGTCGGACTGCTGGGCGCAACAGTCACGTTGGTTCGCGGTGTTGGTGTCCCAGGCATGGCTTTCTGGCACGATTCAGGATCGGCAAGACGCAACAGTCACGGTGATTCGAGGCGTTCAAGTCGCAGGCATGGTGCTCTGGCACAGTTCAGGATTTTCTGACGGTTGTCTTCCAACAGGGCACTGCCCTCATTGAAATGGAATATTGTACGGACCTATGAGAGGAAAACTCGTAGGGATGGTGTATTACCATATCGTTGATGGGTCTTGGGTATTGGCTCCTCCTCCTCCTTCTCCGCCTCCTCCTCCTCCTCTTCCTCCTCTTCCTCAACCTCCATCTCCTCCTCCTCCTCATCATCATCATCGTCATCATCATCATCATCATCCTCATCCTCCCAACCGAAATCTTTTTTGTCCAAGCCAGAATCAAAGAAAACTCTAAGAACAAACAAAAAGCACTGCCGATAATAAAGACACAAGAACAGCTGAAGAACTTGCTGGGGGACTCCCCCCCACCCACCCCTCCAGCAACTTCCCCAAGATTGGCTTGTTGCTTGTGTTGCTTGTTTTGCGTGTTCCGGTGGCGTTCCTTGATCATGCCCCGAAAAGCGATTCTGATTGGAAGGAGAAGTAGACGGAGGAGAAGGAGGAGGGGGTACAGAGACGGAGAGAGGAAGGAAGACGAGGGAGGAAGAGGGAGGAGGATGGAACAGAAAGGCTGCCTGGACAGTCGTAAATCTTGCTATCGCGGGGAGGGGCAATTACGAGCCGAAACCGCACATACATATGCATCCACGTCTAGATGTGCACATCGCCAGCTACAAGTACAAATACAAATACAAATACTCCTTCCACTGTAAAGAATCAAAGTATCCCAGTGCGACCCTACCTAGGAGTTGGAGCATTTAGGAAAGCAACATCTACATCTACACCGACAGCTACATTTACATCTACACCTGCATCTACATCTACATCAACATCAACAGCGAGACTCACATCTACATCTACACCTACATCTACACCTACATCTACATCTACATCTACATCTACACCTACATTCACATCTACACCTACATCTACATCTACATCTACATATACACTTTCGCATTGGTTGTGTTTCTGCTTTGCATTGCCTTTGCTTTTGCTCTTGCCGTTGTTTTTGCCTTTGCCTTTGCTTTTGCTGTTGCTGTTGCTTTTGCTTGTGCTTTGCTTTGGTTGTTTGTTGTTGCTTGATTTTGTTGTTTTGCTTTGCCTGCGCACAGACACACACACACGTTTTTGCTTGTTGTTGTTTTTGCTATGCTCTGCGTGTTGCTTGTTGTTGGCTATGATATGCTATGCTGCGCTATGCTATGCTATGCTATGCTATGCTGCGCTATGCTATGCTATGCTATGTTATGCTGTGCTATGCTATGCTATGCTGTGCTGCGCTGTGCTATGCTAAGCAACGCTATGCTATGCTATGCTATGATATGCTGCGCTATGCTATGCTATGATCTGCTATGATATGCTGAGCTATGCTATGCTATGCTATGCTATGCTTGGCTATGCTATGCTGTGCTAATGCTGCGCTGGGCTATGCTGCGCTGCGCTAAGCTAAGCTAAGCTAAGGTAAGCAAAGCTATGATAAGCTAAGCTAAGCTAAGCTAAGCTAGGCTAGGCTAGGCTAAGCTAAGCTAAGCTAAGCTAAGCCAAACCAAGCCAAGACAAGCTAAGCTAAGCTAAGCTAAGCTACGCTAAGCTAAGCTACTATGATATAAGCTAAGCTAAGCTAAGCTAAGCTAGGCTAGGCTAGGCAAAGCTAAGCTAAGCTAAGCTAAGATAAGATAAGCTAAGCTAAGCTAAGCTAAGTTTAGCTTAGCTAAGCTAAGCTGGGTGAACCCAGGGGGCGCAACTGGGGGAACCGCGGGGCGGATACTGGGGGGAACCGCCCTGGGCGGTTTGCACTGCCCGGCCCCTTTAAGAAAGAGAGTAAGAACCCTCTAGGCAGAGCCTAGGTAGGGAACCATGCCAAAAATGAGCCTTGTGATCCTTGTCAGGTAACTTGTTGCGGGCCACGCACGCGCCCGCCCCCGCTTTCGCATGTCTGAAATCAGCATCATCAGAACCATCATCATCATCATCATCATCATCATCATCAGCAGCATCGTCATCATCATCAGCATCATCAGCATCATCATCATCAGCAGCAGCATCGTCATCACCATCATCAGCAGCAGCATAATCGTCAGCATCATCAGCATCATCATCACCATCATCATCAGCATCATCGTCATCATCATCGTCATCATCATGTACGTCATCATCATCAGCAGCATCATCATCATCAGCAGCAGCATCGTCATCATCATCATCAGCAGCATCATCAGCAGCATCATTAGCATCATCGTCATCATCATCGTCATCATCATGTTCGTCATCATCATCAGCAGCATCAGCATCCTCGTCATCGTCATCATCATCAGCAGCAGCATCACCATCAACAGCAGCATAATCACCGTTGTTCGCCCACCCGGCTCATTGATCCACATTAGTAGAAGGGTCCGCACGTCGCTGCGTCTGCTGGGATGAGCCAACAAGTTCCGAAATAGCTGCAGTCGTGGCACCTTGAGACTTAAAGAGCGAACGAGGGTGGGTGGGTGGGATATCTGCTCGAGCATTGGAATTAACCACTTCAGCTTCTCAAATTCATTGCACTCCATGCAACCGCATCTCCAAACCAACTCGGTATTGATTCCCACCGTCACTCGTGTCATCGAATACCACGCAGTGCACACACATTGACTTAACAGCCGCATTATGTAAGAATACATATCACGTAACGCCATACGGACCACACGCGCGGGCCCCGCGCGCGTGCATGTCGAAATCATTAAAAGACCACGTGCGCCTCAAGAATTTCAAAAGAAAGCTCTTCAAAACATGCGATAAGCAAATGGCGTCTCAATGAATAAAACATGGTTGTTTGCGCGCGTGCGCACCTGCAACAAATCATAAAAGAAACATCGGTGGACTACAATGCCTGTCGAATCCGCCGACCCCCGCTTGCCAGAAGTGACAAGGCGTGAGAAATTTGTCTGTTCCCCTCCTCATGGCGCACCCCACCCTAAGAGGCCCCAAAGAGATCCCCGAGAGGCCCCCGAATAGGCCCCCCAAAAGTCCCCAAAAGGCATCCACCCACGACCCGGACAGAGTGGCGGGATGGGCCGAAGGCCACTATACAGGGGACAGATGGTGCGGATAGCGCAAAGACAAGCTGTCATGAAGATACATTGCGGCACTGCGAAGGCGCACCTGTCCATGGCGACAGCCTTCGCGATCCTCAGGCTCACGCCAGCCTGTGCGCGCGAGCGAACGAGCCCGCAACGATAAGCTCGCCTGTCTTTCTCGTAGACCGCGGCGCGCAACCGTTTTTTGCCGATCACCACGTACGGCGTGGCAGCGCAGAGGAGGGAAACGACCCGACCGTGACGACCGAAAGCCTCGGGTTGGAAAGGCACTCTGGCGCTCTCGACCTGCCACATCCTTCGGAGTCGCGTGTCATATTCTGATCAGCTCCACTTCGAATCCCGTCCTCGAGCATGTGTCCAACCCAGTAGTGGAGCGAGTCACTGTGAGCATCAGGCGCAGCGCGATGCTTCGTTGCATCCAACGCCTGCTGAAAACAAAAGGTGATTGACTTTGCTCACGAGGCTGATTGTGAGGCGGCTCTTACGATCACCGGATGTGCCTGCTTCTGCTTCGTCAGGATCAGTCAGCATCAATTCGGGAAAACGTATCGTCTCGGGATGTGCGTCGAATCGGGCCACATCGACACAGAGCTGGAATCGAATCGCATCGGCCGCCCAGGAAGCACAAGAGCGCCACGCAGATCGTCGGAATGTCAAAATCAAATCGAATCCCAGACCCCCGACGTCGTGACTTTGTTCACAACGTCGACCCCCAGAGGTCTGGACCCTTCCCCAGGACCGGTTTTTCATCCCGAGTCGTTTTTTGACGGTCACTGGGCCCAGTGAGGGCCCCCAAAAGCCGAAGTTGGCGGAGAACCTCCCGTCGTGATTTCTTCACACCGGAAGGGGGTCTGGGATCGGGCTGGCCGACACAGATATCGACTCAGATCGATCGGAGCGAGATGGACCCTGCCGAGACCACATCGGCTGCCCAGACTTCGGAGGCAACTCGTGGGAGCCTCCCATACCATCATGTCGGCTCTTGCGAATCGACGCTAAATCGACGCTGAATCGACGCTAAATCGACGCTAAATCGACGCTAATCGACGCGCTAAATCGGCGCTAAATCGGCGCTATCGCCTCGACTCCCAGTCGCTGATCGGTGCTCATCGACGCGAGAAACGGAATGAAGAGGGTACACCGGGTTCCCATGCCTTGCTACCGAACGAGACCGCACCGGCTGCGCAGACTTGGCACACCAGCTGCCCAGACCTGGCGGCACGCACAGGGAGGTAGGGGGAGGGGGGCAGGCTTTTCAGAAGGAGGGTGCTTCTTAGAAGGCGCGGGCATTACATCTACAAGGGCTCCCAACTTCGCGCTTCGCGCTGCGCGAAGCGCGAAGCGCGAATAACTCCGCGCTCTCGCGCCGCCTCCCGGGGGAGAAGAGGAGCATGAGGAGGAATCGGGGCCGAACCGCGAAGCGCGAAGCGCGAAGCGCGAAGCGCGAATGACTTCGCGCCCTCGAGGGCGCCCGTGCGATCATCTGCAGATAGGGCCCGCCGCTTCTCAGAAGCAGAGGTGCTTCTAAGAAGCCTTCCCCTACCCGTACCCCCCTCTTTGAGCAGGGACCGACCGTCCTGGCATTCCTATAGGCCTAGCACGACATGCTCTTAGAAGCCAGAAATGTTCCAATGTTCTTAGAACATGAACCCGATGTGTTAAAACAAGACAGCCCAAGCCAGAAATGTCCTAAGAACATTTCGCGCAAACCACAAAAGGTTCGTAGAACATTCTTTGGTACAGTGCTGGCAGATGAAATTGGGCTCGCGGGCTGGTCGCTGGATGCAAGTGAGGGCACTTTAAAATGACTACCTACCAGAACGCCCCAACCCAACCCGAAGACCCGAATTTCGGGTTGGGGGGGTACGAGCTTCATGTGTGTTTTGTTCAACGGTCCCCGACCCCCCCCACACACTGGAAGTGGAGGGCAAGTCGGGGCATTCGGGTTGGGTTGGGGTGGTTTGGTGGGCGGTGAGAGAAGCATGAGGCCGACCACAGCCACGACTAAGGAGAAGAAAACCCGAGGCCAGTCAACAAGAAGCAGGCGGTCTGCGGCGGAAGCATGGCCGCGCCTGGTTGAACCGGACGGTCTCCGCGCGGGTCTTGTTGCTGACGGCGCCCTGAATGATGCCGAGCACCTGCAGCCGTACGCCCGGTCGCTGACGTGTCGACGTGCACGCTGGTTTACGACACTGCGCAAATCGTTCACACCTGGGCGATCCCCGCCATCAGGCCATCTCCGCCATCCGGCAACGGAGGTCGTTCAGGAAATTGGCTTGATTTACGCCGACGGTGGCCTTCAACCTCATGTCATTCGCAATCCTTTGGGAGGGAACCTAAGTTCAGAGGGCCAAGGGCATCTGGGATAGGGGGTCTGTTCGGCAGATGCCTCAAGCAAAACAATCCAGATCGACTGTCCCTGACGCAAAGACGGGGACCTCAGCGAGGCCGCGCCTTACTGCGTTACAGTTCCGAGTTTCTTAACAAGCGTCGGGGGGGCGCCACCCCTGCCGACTGCCTCACATCGACCCCTGTTGCGGGCAGCCACCGTGCGCCGAAGGCGATCCGACCAGCGTTGCGGTGCGACGACGAGGAGAGGCTGAACCCCGTCGGGGGGGTACCCCCCCACGCTTGTCAAGAAACCCACCACAGGGTTAGGGTGTTTTCCCAATGATCATGCCCGCGCCGGCGTCGCCGCTGCGACGCCGGCGCGACCCTGCCGCACGCCCACGCCGAGCCCAGCCGCGCGGGTCCCGGGCCGAGCAGGCTCGGCGCGTGCGTTCTCGTGGCCCCGCCGGGAAGGCACATTCTCCCACGCCCGGGCGCGGGATCTGAAGGGCAACGACAGGGGGGGATAAGGACAGGGGGGGGGGAACATCGACCTGGAATCGGCGATACATCGGCGAGAGATCGGCGATAGGTCTCCGATTGTGAATCCGCGGGTTCCTGGGCAGGTTGGGTTTTTTTTTTTGCCGACGAGCGCTCTGCAACGGCAGAGTGAATATGTCACGGAATACCTCTTGGAGGTTGTGAACATGTCAAATGGTCAAACGGCAGTTGTATGCCTGAACTAATCCAGACCGTGCTGATATCTGCTGTGGATGAGGGAGGAAGGAGGACGGAGGGTAAATAATAATTAATAAAGAGAAAAGGAAGAAGGTGCAATGAGCAACAGTGCATGTATACACGAATGTGTGGCTGGAGAAACTACCCGCTGCGCGAGTAACCAAAGGAATCGTCGTGATGAAAAGTTATGCGAACGCGTTTGCGGGGTTCGCGACCTATCAATGAGCGGGCCGTACAACGGGGCCCGCGGCCTAACAAATCAGTGTAGTCATTCGTCTAAGATCTTATCCGTCCTCTCCTCGCCACCTCCTGTCTTCCACCCCTCCGAGCAGACAGCTGGTCGGGCGGCAAATGGTCAGAGCGGTTCCACAGAACAGGGGACGAACTGCAGCGGCCCCGGTGTTGCCACCGATACGCATCTAGGTCAGGCGCCTGAGTCAAAAGGTTCCCAATTGTGCGAGACATGGAAACCCGTGCGCTCTGGCGCGATGCCATCGCGCCCCTATCGGGCCCCTATCGGCGATCACTGGGCGAGCGGGGGTCAATGCATCCCCCCCCTTGCCGATCCCCCCCTATCGTTGCCCCCTGGGGATCGGCCTCTGGCCGGGGACGGCGTAACTAGGTGTCCATCTGGCGTCCTCCGACCTCGAAGCTCTCGGAAGGTCTTCGAAGGATCCTTGATCGGCGGCGGGCCGAGGGGGGGGGAGTGAGAAGGAGAAGGCCTTCTCAAAGGCGGCGGGACGTCTCAAAACCCGTCGCGCCTTCTGAACAGCTGATGCGCTTGACTTTGGGGAAGACTCAGAAATCTTATCAAAGGGAAGGGGGACTCTCGAAACTTCTGAAAAGGCCTTCTCCTTCTAAATTCCCCCCCTCGCTCGCCGCCGATTCGAGGCTCTTGGGAGGTCGTCGAAGGGTCCTGGAAGCCCCCCACCACCGAAGGCGTGCTCCAGCGCCGCCAATAAAAACACGGGCATGGGAGGACTGGACATTTGCGCGACGATCGAAAACGGAGTGTACGCGAGATGCTGTAGCGACTTCACGCGGCCGCTTACGCGGGCCACCAACGCGGCAAGCCACATTGGAGGCGAAGGCACTTCCGCGCCACCTCACGCGGGCAGCTTACGGGCGAATGTCGGTGAAAACGACCCCTCTGGGGCGCCCCGTGGCTTGACGCCACCCGCCGAAAGAGAAGGCGCACAAGGTAGACGGGAGCGCTGGAGCAACTTCAAAGGTCTTGACGGCGCGACGGCGACGGCGACGACGACGCAGAAAGACCACAGCGGCGACGACGACGAGCAGGAACGACGTCGGAGCGAAAGCGGAACCGGAAGTGGGAGCGGGAGGGAGTCAACGAGCGAGCGCTTCAATAGGAAGCGCGAACGGGTGATCGGGAGTGCGAATAGGCGTGCGCGGAGAGCTTGGGCGGCACACAGCAGGGGAACAAAAAAAAAACGACGTGGCTTCTGGTAAATCATGCGCCCCCACGACCTCCAAGAGGCGACGAGCTTCTCACAAAACCGCCTGCTTGACCAAGTCCCCTGTTGTACGCCGACGGGTGTCAGAGGGACCGGGAAAGCCGAGGCAGCTTCGTCACGAAGCCTGGAAAGGTTTAATGAGATGGCAGAGTCTCAGAGGCGTTGCCCGACTGAACGTCGGGCCAAGGTGCTGGACAGGCTTCCGACAAACCGCCGACCCCAGAGGCGTGCGAGATCAACCCTACCTGCGTCCGCGCGCAGCCGCCACACATCACCATCATCATCACCATCATCGCCATCACCGCTCCCACCACCACCACCACCATCATCAACATCACCAGCATCATCATCACCACCAGCACCATCACAATTATTATCATCATCGCCGTCATCGTCACCATCACCATCACCATCAACAACACCATCACCACCACCATCATCACCACCACGATCATCATCATCATCATCACCACCACAATCATGATCACAGCCACCACCACCACCCACCACCATCACAATCAACGCAACCACTTCCACCACAATCACAACTGCCACCACCATCATCATCACCATCTCCACCACCACCACCATCATCACCACCATCGGCATCACCATCACCTTCAGCAACACCATCACCATCGCTCACCGCAGGTGTCTCTGCCACGTCTGAAATACCACGTTCTAGGTGATGCTGCGACTTGGATACGCAAGTCTATCCCTTCAGACGTCGCCTGGGCCTTCTAATTGTGAATGCTCTCTCCCTGCTCGCTCCCTGTGGGCGGCGACGCGGTCTGGCCCGCGCCCGCTCTGATCAGCAGGAGCTCCACGACGAACCGGTAGCCGACCACGACCACGACCACGCCCAGCAGCTGCAGCAGCCGACGCTGCCCGCAGCTGTGGAGGACTGACTCTCTTCTGGCGCTCCGCCCCGTCAGACAGGCGTGCGAGGCCTGGGGCCCCCCCCCCACCCTACAAGCGGTCGAGCCACGAAGCCCGCACCCAGCCCTGGCGCCCCCAGCCTAGACCCCCTTTCTGAGGAGGAGGAGGAGGAAGAGGAGGAGGAGGAGGAGAAAGGGGAGGAGGAGGGAGGAGGAGTAGGGCGAGGAGGAGGAGCAGGACGAGGAGGAGGAGGAGGACGAGGAGGAGAAGGAGGAAGAGGAGGAGGAGGAGGAAAAAACACGACACGTCTGCCCCCAAACCGACAGACACCCCCCACCACGCCCCGGGCACGCCCAGCCTTTCAGAACCCTTGTAGGAGCTCTGCGTACGGGACCCCCCAAACGACGACAAGTCTTCCTCAAAACCAACAAGCACCCCCTTTCACGCCCTGGCACCCCCAGCCGCCCTGACCACTTCTGGGTGGGATCTCTAGTTCACGGACCCCCCACACGACAATTCTGCCCCCAAACCGACAGACATCCCCCACTGCGCCCTCGCATTACCACTCTCCCAGACCTCTTCTGAAACCTTTAATTCAAGCACCCCCCCACCACAGTTCTGTCCCAAAACTGACAGACACCCCCAAAGCCCAGGCACCTTCAGTCTCCCAGACCCTGTCTGGGACTTCTAGTTAAGAGACCCCCACACGACAAATCTACCCCCAAACCAGACGCAACCCACCACGCCCCAGCACCACCAGCTTCCCAGACCCACTCTGGGACATCTGCTCCAAAACGGACAAACACACCCCACCACGCCCCGGCACGCCAATCCTCCCAGACCCCTACTGGGACCTCTAGTTCAACGGCCCACCACTCGACAACTCCGCCCCAAAACCGACAAACACCCCATCACGCCCTGGCACATCTGGCCTCCGAGACCCCCTTTCCAGGACCCCAACTATAGGGCCCCCCCTGCCCCCAAACCGACAATCACTTCCCCACCACGCCCCAGCACCCCCAGCCCTGGCACCCCTAGCCTCCCAGACCCCTGGGACCTCTAGATTAAGGACCCACCACACGACCATTTTCCCCCCAAACCGACAGACACCCCCCACCACGCCCCTGCACCCCCAGCCTCCCAGAGCCTGTCCTGGGACCTCCAATCCAGGGACCTCCCACGCGACAAGTCTGCCCCAAACGCCCTGGCACCATCAGCCTCTCAGACCCTTCTGGAACATGTTTACGGACCCCCACACTTCAATTCTGCCCTAAAACGGACAGGCACCCCCCACCACGCCCCGGCACACTGGCCTGCAAAACCCTAATGAAGGGACCCCCACCCTCAGCCTCCCAGACTCCTTACGGGACATCTAGCCAGAGAACCCCCCCACACGACAAATCTTCCTATTAACCGACAGACACCCCCTATAAACCGACAGACACCCCCAGCCTCGCAGACTCATTTCTGGGATCACTCAGAAAGGAAACCCCCGCACGACAATTTTCCTCCCATGCCGACAGACACCCCCCACCACGCACCGGCACCTCCAGCCTCCCAGAACCCTGCTCGGAACTCTACACCACGCCCCGGGTACCCCCCGCCTCCCAGACACCTTCTGGGACCTTTAGCTTGCGGACCCCCACACGACAACTCTCGCCACAAACCGACAGACACCCCCTCCCCACGCCCCGGCATCCCCAGCCTACCAAGCCCTA